CTTGGCTGGCAGAATAAGGCAAAAGATGATAGGCTGTTTGTTACTTAAGCTGGTTCTCAGGTCGAGAAAATAGTAGAAAGGAGTGTGGACCCAGAGAAACACAGGCACAGGTTTTTTATTAGGACACCTGCTTGAGCTAGATGGAGACACAGTCCTGACTTAGCTCAGCTGCAGCTCTGACTACCAGGGTAAGGCAGATTCACAGGAGGCTGACCCTGGCCCTGCACATCTGAGCAGGGCTGTTCTGTCGCCTCTGGTGCTATGTGCGAGCCCTGGGTCTTTGTTTGAATTTGCTGTTGGAAGTGTAAAATAGGCAAGATCCCTGCCGGACCTCTTTCCAGCACTTGATTCCTACTTCATAGGATTACTTAGGATCACATAAGGTATCACATGTCAAAATATCATTATACCTAGTACACTGAAAGCAAGTAACAAATTCAGCTTATATTTCTACCATCATGACCACCATTATTAACACTATACTTGCACAAAGTCCAACAAACATCCTGCCTGAGAATAATAACTCCAGTCTTTCTGCTCGGAGCTCCACAGTCCTAGGAAGAAAAAACAACAGAATCAACCAAAGTGTCCTTCAATAGATAAAGAGGAGGCAGCATATGCAGTACACATACAATGGAATACTATCCAGGCATTAAAAAGGATGAAATATCCAAAAGCAGAATCTGCAAAAAAGAGGATGAAATACTGTCATTTACAATAACCTGGATGGAACCGGAGTACATAATGTTAAATGCAATGAAATAACCAGGCCCAGAAAGACAAGTAGCAATGATCTTACTCATCTGTAGAATCTAAAAAAGTTAATTTTTATTGAAGTTGAGAGTAGTGTAGCAATTACCATCAAGTCATATTTAGGGAAAATAAGTTCTGAGGTTTTACTGCACAGACGGGGTTGAAAATAATGTACTATGTATTGTTTAAATAGAAGAAAGAATTTTAAGTGTTTTCATCACAAGAAATGATAAATGTCTAAACACAGGCATTTATAGAATTACCCTAATTCGAACACAATGTATGCTATCAATGCATCACACAGCACACTATAAATATGTGTGGTTTTTATATGTTCATTAAAACAAACACACTGAAAAACACTGAACCAAATGAATACTTTTGCCATAAAATTTGAGGTTTTCCCAGTGACATCAAGAGAGAAAAGTTTTGAGAGATTTTATAGTTTTGTTTTTATATAATTTGGGCCATGAGAAACTCATTTAATTTACAATTAGCTAAGATGTGATTTATTGGCAATTACTGTATATACTTTGAAATTCTTGTGAAGAGGAAAAATATACCAGCAAGTTATTTAGAAACTTAATGAAATCTTCTTGAGTTTGTAGATAAGTTTTAATTGACAAACTGTTTCAGAATATTGGATGCCATTAGCTCTAAGGTTCATGAATTTTTAAGACCTTGCTCTCCTATCAAGCTCTTGTTGGACGGCTCAGTGGGACTGCATGGGCTTTCCCTCCTTCTCCCTGCAGAGAATGCTGCACGCCTCTGCCTCCTGCTCATCGGCATTCAAACTCAGTTTCACAATACAGCAGTCCCCAGAATGTGGTCCCTGAGACCCTTTCAGGGGGTCTATAGGTCAAAACTATTTTCATAATAATTTTAAGATATCATTAGCTCTGCTTTATCTTTACCATGTTGGACAATTGTGGAAAAAAGCTGCTGATGCCCTCCAATAGACTACAGCCATGGCACTAACTACACTAGTGTGGTAAGTCACTGCATCTTTCCCAACCATACACTCGTAGTAAAATACATATATACATACATATAAAAAGCCAGTTTTACTTAAGAATGTGCTTTCAAAACACACAATTTATTAAATTCATTAAGATTAATCATTAAGTAAATATTTTTCAACACTGTGATATATAAACACTTCTATTACATACCAAACAATGCAGTTGTCTCAGAAAAAAGTCTTAAACTGTTGGAGTTCCAGTCACACTAGCAGCTTATTCATGGAACACCCTCTGAATGGTAAGAGTGAGTAACAGGCAAACTAGACTTACTAAAAGAAGCTATCTGTTGAAAATGAACAAACTCTGAATTTAAAGGGCTATAACTATGATTTGCTGCTAATGATGAAATGAGAGCTCTAAATAAAAAACTTAAAAATTTGAAAATTTTGTGTTAATCCTTGTAAATTTGAGAGCTTATGTTTTTTGTGATGAGATCAGTGGTCATACTAATGACTCGCAGCCTTGTAACATGTTTCCGACACTTCAATTGATCTGGCATTTTAATGTGTCTGTTTTCCCATTAAGGTGGTAAGCACTGTGAAGGCAGAACTACTTGTTTGTGTCCTCTTTAAAACCTGACAGAATAGTTACTGGGTGAATATTTGTTGACTTCCCTGTCAGTCTAACTCCTGGTATTAATTAAAATATGTACATGTATATGTATATTTTTATCCCAGGCTCCTGGTAACTCTGCATCTGTCAAAAAAGCACATTTTTCCCATCTATCTTACTCGAATTTTGTCTTAAATTAGCTTTTTTTTGTAAATGCAAAATCAAGCATTTGCTGCAAAATTAACCCAAATAATTAAAATGAATTTTTAAATAAGTGTTTAATGAGTATTTCTCTAAACCTGGGTTGGCAAAGTGTGAGCCAAATCGGCCCACTGCCTGTTTCTGTAAATAAAGTTGTAGTGGACTGCAGCCATTCCCATTCACTTATGCACTGTCCATGGTGGCTTTTAAACTGCAACAACACAGTTGCCAGAGTTATGAGACCAAATGACCCACAAATATTTGAAAGTATTTGCTAGCTGGCCCTTCGTAGAATAACTTTGCCAATTCCTGTTTTCGAGCATAAACCTTTCAAAAAATGTTTACATTCCTTTTAAAATTACATGAAGTATACATTTCATACCAAAAATACTTACTTAAAACAAACCAAACCAAATAAAGAGCTCTGTAGCTAAAACATTCAGGAGTCTTCAGCAGGAATCCAGGGGGTAGGGGGCAAATGTTCTGGCTCTTCTCTCTTATGGTTTCAGATTTTATTATGACTTTTACCCAGGCCTACCTACCAAAGTCAAATCTCTATCACCACCAAAATATGCTCCAAATCACACAAGGCAGGGTTAGAACATTTAGAGGCCACCCATAAAAAGACTATGGGTGACTCCTGCAGTTAGCCATGATTGAGTCACTGGTATGGACACAGTGTTCCTACCATGAGTGACTACAAAGCTGGACAAAATACAGACACCCCTGCTTTCAGACAAAGGGACAGTTCGGGCACACCAGAATTGTCTGTAATTATTGCAAACAGGGAAACAACTGGTGAATCCTTCAATTGCCCCTCCCTGCAAGGAAGAGAAATCCATGCTAAGCACAGCAATCTAGAAGGATGGAGGGGCAGAGACTAGTGTTTGGGGAGGCTGAGGCAGCAAGGTAGAGCCATGGGAAGAAGGAGCAATGCAGATACACAGTCTGGGAATCTGCTCAGGGATCCTCTGAGTCTGATGGTGAATCCTAAGACACTGAGGAACTACTGCTGGGAGCTAGAAAGTGAAAAATTCCCAGAATTCCCACAAGACTGGGAAACGTTCAAATTCCATTCAGACACAGTAGAACTATGTCAACTGCCCCTCAGAGCAATGAACATGCTTTGTAACACAGATACCTTAGCCTTGTCAAGGTTACCCTAACCCACCCTAACAAAACTTAACAACAATCCTGGAAAAGATCCACAAAGTACCTAGCTTCCCACAAAAATAAACTTCCAACACTCCTTAAAGTTAAGTAACAAAAGCTAAACACCCAACATCACAATACACACAAGAGATCACAACATAATGTCTCCTGAAAAAGTAATGACAGAATTAGCAGACTATATTAAAAACAGCTATTATAAACATGTTTCATATATTCAAGAATGGACAGGAAAGCATGAATGTGATGAAGAGAGAAATGGAAAACAGAAACCAAAAAATTCCACTTAATTCTGATTAATTCTGTCATATCTGCAACAACTGAAAAAAAATACAGTACCAGAAGTTCTAAATTCACTGGATAGAATTCACAGCAGATTAGATATTGCAGCAGACAAATTAACTTAAAGACACAGCAATAGAAACTATTCAAATTGAAGCCACAGAGTAAAAAGACTGAAAAGATAAATAAACGGAGCCCCAGTGATTTATTGGACAATATCAAGCAGAATCTAATATATATGAAATTGGAATTCAAGAAGGAACAAGTGGAGAGACAGGAAAAATATTTGAAGAAATAACAGAAAATTTTCCAAATTTGATAAAAAATACAAGTACATAAAACTCAAAGGACAGCAGGCAGGATAAGCCAAGAAAAATCACACCAAGGCATATCATAAATTGCTCAAAAGCAACACCATTAAAAATAACATAAAAACATTGTTTATATTATTCCCTTGGATCCATATATGATATAAAATAAAAACAACTCCATCCAAAAAAAGCAAGTAACATCTTTCTAAATCTGCTTGAAACCATGAAAGTAAGGTTCACCAGAGTTGAATTCTCATTTTTGTAGAGGCCTTTCTTTGCTGGTATCCCTGGCAGAAGCTTTGTTGGGGAATCAGGTACAGACAACTATAGTTAAAACTACTGAAAAATATTGGTATCATCTATATCTATCTATTTGTCTATCTATCTCTACATATGCATACACCTTACAAATTACATATGTCACATACTCAGGATTGCATGCTTCTTAAGGCCAGAAACCTTAATGTCTTTGCCCATAAATTTCTAGTGCAGTTCTTAGCAGAACATACCCACATGAATACACAGGGATGAGTCAATCTCAGGTCACCCTCGGGACACTGCTATGTGATATGTAGATCAAGATGAGAAAATAGATGCCCAGAGGGAGTAAATGATTGTTCCAAGAATACTCAAAAGGGATCTACAGTAATGTCACCACAAGGTGCTGCCTCAAAGTACACACACACACAGAATTTTAAGTATTACTTACTCTGAGTTTCCACAAGATCCAAAGCAACACTAGAAGCTGTGTCCATTCCAGAGCTGATACAGGACTGGAAGTTTTTTAAGGAGGAGAGAGCAGACTCTACACCGCTGAAGGATATGAAACCTGTTGAACCTGAATTTGAACTGGAACGCCCTGGCATCTTGAAATTACCTAAAAGTTCAAATACAATAACAAGAGTTATATGTCAGAATAATCACTGTATAGGAAAACAGCACAGCTGTAAATATTGATATAACTATAGTCAATATCCATGTGTCGTAACATTATCTACATTCAGTATCCCTTGAGAGGACACCAGAGCATTATGCCATCCTCTGGGTCACCAAACACAGATGGCAATCAATGTACGGGGACAGTAATTATCCTTGTTTTTAAAAAGAGTGAAATATCCTCTTCCAAAAGATTCCCAGCACATAATTGGGCTAGAAAAAGTAGATTACTCATGAAGCATTTTCCTTAAAAAAATGAAAATAACAAAAGCTTAAAAAGGAAAATCTGTAATTTTAACCTATCTGACATGCATGCATTTTGGAATCTAAAACTAAAAAAATATGTTTCTGATAGCTTCTGAGTTCTGAAAGGTTTATAAACTTGGTGAGATTCACTGAAAGAATGTCTGTATAGACTTATCATTCAATAGCCCATCATTAAAACAGTTTCAGTTATGACCTTCATGCTAAACACTCTCTCATCTGTACCTTCAACCACCAGCTCTTTAGTCCACAGAAGTGGTCTAAAGCCTTTCCTCCCTCTTGTTCAATCAGTCGCAAGGCCATCCCACCTATCCACCAGATCCAATTCCTCCTCCCCTACATTAGACATCCCCTAGTAATTCTCCCTATTTTCATGCTTCAGTAATCTGAATCAATTCTACAGCACACAAATGTTGTTACTTCTTCCATCTTAAATAAAAACATCTTCCTCCCACCTTCCCCTCTGGTTCCCAGCCTCATTTCTGTGCTCACACTCACAGCAAAATTCTTCTATAAACTTGTCTCTATTTGTCTTCAAATCCTCTCCTCCCACCCTCTCCTGAACCCACTCCTGGTAGTTTTCTGCCCCTCCAATTTGACTGCAACCATTCTTATCAAGGTCACTACAATAGTCCTTGCCTCCTGTGACCAATCAGGTAACAGCACTTCACACAGCTAGCCACTCCTTCCTGGTGCACTTTCTGCACCTGCCTCCCTGACTGGCCTTCTTCTCTTGCTGGCTGTTCCTCATTCTCTACTGCTTCCTCTCCATCACCCCGAGCTCCATATGGCAAAGAACCCCAGGGTTCAGTTCTTCTCCATCTAGATCCAACTCAAGTACAGCCCTGTCCTGTACTGTACTTGTACTGTATAGCCCTGCATATGGGCTATGCAGTCTCTGTTCCCTCTGCCAGGATACTTCTCTCTCATTTCCCTAAGGTCTCCTTTCAAATGTCACTACATCAGTAAGACTTTCCCTGGAAACCCCATAAAAATAGCCAGTCCTCCCAATCACCATCCCCTAGGCATTCCATACCCTCCTTCCTCTGTTGTTATATTTCTTCAGAGGAGGTACTCCGAAAAGCATTCTTTTTATTTATTATATTGTCTCCAGTCCCCAATTCAACTCAAGTTTCTCACAAAGATTTTTTTTGTTTTGTTCACTGCTGTATTTCAAGTACCTAAAACAATGTATGGCATACAGTATTATTCAATAAAGGATTGGTGAAAGAAGGAATGAGTGAAGTACTATATGTGCATTCCCTACACCTAAAACCAGTACACTCTCTCTCCCAAATCCTAAGACCCATATATCCAAGGCCCAGTACTCTGAACACCTCTTTTCTCTACCCTCTCCCACCCCACCCGGGGCTCCCAACAAGGCTCACACCATTTATTAGCAAGAACTTAAAATGTCCAACACTAAATACCCTATACTTCCCTTCTCTTTTCCCTATGCTCTTCCCAAACCTATTCCCTTTGAAGCCTGTTTCATCTTTCTAAATAGCAACTCTATCCTTTCATTTCTTGACCCAGAAACCTTGGTTTGTACTTGACCTCCCTCTCCTTCTTTTATATCCTTAATAACAAGTTTTGTCAGCTCTGTGGTCAAAATATCTCCAGATTCTAACCATGTGCACCAATTCTATTGTTAACCATCCTGACTCATGCCATCATCTCTTGCCCAAAGTCCTCCAACAGCCTCCTATCTGGTCTCCCCACTCCCAACCTCATTTCTTCCACCCAATTCTCAATAAAAATGCCACAGTGAAACTTTGGAAATGTACCTAAGGTCATGCCCTGCTCAAAAACCTCTCCTGACTTCCTGACTCAGAGTAAAGGCTTAAGGGCTCTACATCACCCAACAACAGTGGTACTCCAAATGGTCTCTGGGGGAGCAGCATCAGTATCACCTTGGAATTTGTTAGAAACGTAAATTCTCAGGCCCCAACATCTGTGTTTTAGCAGGCCCTCCATATAACTCTAATTCTGATGGACCTATACTGCAGTGCTAGCATATCAAAATCACCTGTTAGGCCTGCTGAAACAATGATTGTTGGGCCTCCTCCCACCAGAATTTTGCATTCAGTAGATCTGAGCCAGACCTAAGAATCTGCACTTCCAACACGTATCCAGGTAATAAGAATGCTGCTGATCCAAGAATTATACTTTGAAAACTGCTCTACCTTATCTGGCCATTGCTAGTCTTGCAAAAATCCAGGCAAGCTTCTACCTTACAGTCTTTGCACTTGTTGATGAGACACACTGGAATGCCAAGAATCAAGATTAAGACAAAAAAAAGAAGGGCTGGTCTTAATTCCCTGTTGCCTATATAATAAAATTCAGCATCATAAGCAGAGTATCCAAAGTCTTCTTACAATATAATGCAGGTAGATTAAAGAGTCTACCTTTCCACAAGACAAAACATGTATTCCATATAACCTTAACTACTTGACATTCTAAATAAACACAACCCACTTCTGAGGTTGAGGAAATATCGTCAGATGAAAAACCAAGCAACACTCAGAGAAATAGAGAACTCGGATTTTATTTTACACAGGTGGTCCCAGAAATTCTGGGGCCCCTAACAAAGAATTCACCAGATACTTAAAGGGCAGTGCAGGGCATCAGGTTACAAGGAATGTGTTAGGGTTAATAGATGAGCTAGTGGTGGGTTAGAGACCTGGGGTTGTTTAGGTAAGAGCAGCAGGGGAGACCTGCTTTAGAAAGTTTACTTACAGGAGACAAAGGAAGGTGGGAGTAGGCAGTTATCTTTACTTGGTGCCCTTTGTCTGAACTTTCTTTTATAGCTTTAATTAGCAATTTCTCATGTCCAAGGCCTTGCCTGAGATAATCTTCTTCTTCACTGACAAAATCCCTCAATACAAGCTTGGAAGAAAACAAGTGTCATATAAGAAGAATAGACCAAGTGCTATGAATTTCAAAAAAGAAAGAGATTTTACAAATCCAGTACAATGTAAGGTTCAAGAAAAGGAAATACTTATAGACATAGCTGAGGGAAAGCATAGTCTTCATGGAAATAAGGCACTTAAGCTGGACCATAAAAAATATTCCTAAGACTGTGAAGAAACCATAGGGTAATAAAGTCTGGGACAGGTGCCTACACCTAGCACACTGGGATAAAGGCAAAGAAAAGTTATGCGTTTCATTCTTTGGAAGGAAAAGTAGGGGGGTCTTAAGTGCAGGATAAAGAACCATTCCAGTTGGGTCTAAGGGTCATCCAAATGGAACTAGAGTTTTATGTATTTTTAAAACTTGATGGTAAAAATCAAGACCTGAAGTGAACAAGGCAAAATGTTACAGGTGTTAAAATCTGGGTGTTGAAACAAGGGTTCTCATTGTTATTTTCTGGGATTTAAAAATTTCACTCCAAAAGAGAGAACATATGAATATAAATGAAAAATCCAATGATGATTTTTAAACATGTACATTTTTAGTAAAAGAGAAGGATTAAGTATAACCTAATTTTATTACCAAATAAGCGAGTCATTCTATACAATACAAACACAAACATATCCAGTAAGATGTAAAAATATAAATTTATGCCAATCAGGGTCAAAACCCAGAAATTACAGGGAAAGCCAAGTATATGAAAAAGTGAGAAATCAGCCTTGCAAACCTCAGAATTTCACACAGGGCAAGAGCTGCAACACAAATTTGGCTGTGAGTTTCCTGAAAACAAAAAAGTGAAAAGTTACTTTTCCCATAAAGAAAAAAATACACCAGGAACACAGGAAACATAAAGCTTGCCATGGCAATCCAGGCAGTATGGATCACATGAGATAGTACGAGTTATGGCGAAAAACTATTGCCACTGCTATCCTTACAATAAATACAATAGCAAACATCCTACGACTACTTCTTAAGACTACTCTTTGGAGTAGATGGTGACAGTTACCAGCTTAGGTGCCCACCAAACCCATTTCTTCTTACCTGGTCACACAGCTCATCATGTACCACATTTTGTAGCCCTCCTTGCAATTAGTTGTGTCCTATGACTGCACTCAAGGCAAGCTGTTTCCAGGCCTAGTCCATAAAACACACTTTCCCATGTGATAGCTTGACATAAGGCAAGCACAATGGCTTGAGACCCTACACACTGATGATGGAGAATTACTAGATGCCAGGAACTGTGACAGGAAGGCAGGGAGGGGGAAGGGAGATACTGAGAGACAGTGAGGGAAATAATGACAGATAATGAGTGTAAAAAAAAAAAAATGGATTTGAGGAATGTCAAGTAGCACCTGGGGTGAGACCAGAGAAGGGTTACCGAGTCCCAGAAGTTAAAATAGCCAATAAAATAATATGTGACCATGTATGGGACAAGCCATATCCCCCATTTCTGTAACCTGCTCTAAATGGTATATAAGGAAGGCCCTCTTTGTTCTCAGGGCTCAGCCTTTGCACTCGAGCCCGCTGAGTCGCTGCCGACCTGCTTAATAAACTTACTTAGTGCCCTGTATCTCTGAGTTGTCCTACATACAACAAAGCCTAGGATCTGCTTGGAGGAAAACTTCTCACCATCAGACTCCATGCATGAAAGAAAGAAACTTCAACAGTGCAAAGCCATTTAGATCTATTATAGTACAAACTGTTCCTCAAAAAGCACAATTCTGCAGGGATCAATATGATGTGCTTCAGTTTCCTAGTCAGTCCCAATTCTAACCAAAGTCTAAATTATCCAGAGCAATGTTGTCTAATACAGCTTTTCCACAATCTGCATGGGTAATATGGCAGTCACAAGATATATGTGGCTATTGATTACCTAAAATGTACTTAGTGTGACTCAGGAATTGAGTTTTAAACTTTATTTCATTCTAATTAATTTAAATTTAAATAGTGACATGAGGTTGGGCACGATGACATGTGCCTGTCATTCCAGCTACACAGGAAGCCTAAATAGGAGAATGTGGTTCAAAACCAGCATGGGCATAAATGTGAGACTTTTTCTGAAAAATAACTGCAGCAAAAAGGAGTGGGACTCAAAAGGTAGAAGCCTGTCCAGCAAGCACAAAGCCCTTAGTTCAAACCCAGTACAGCCAATAAACAAATAAATAGTAACATGTGTCTACAGGCTACTGCAGTTGAAATGCAGAGTTCTAAAGCACAATTACCAAAGTGTACTAGATATATGAACCAGGAGGTAAACAACAGAGGGCAAAGCCACAGCAAAAGCTATCTGCCTGGAATTACCCATTTTGCTTAAATATGAACTGTGTCTCTATATTAAAATAAACACTGGTTACATTATAGAGTAGAATACAGGCTAAAGGGTAAATGTGCAGTCTTTGGAGCTAGACTAGCTGAGTTCAAGGCAAGATTTTGCCACTTTGTAGCTGAATGACTTAAGGTTTTTACATAATCTCTCAGTGCTTCACTTTTCTCTTCTATAAAATGGGGATGATCCAGTGGTGCTGTTAGGGCTTGGATATGGTTTTCAATGTGTCCCCCTAAAGTTCATGTTCAATGATGTTAAGAAATAATGAAACCTTTAAGAGCTGGGGCCTACTAGGGGATACTTAGATTATTGGGGACATCACCCTCAAAAGAGATCAACATAGTTCTCACACAACAGAACCAAACTAAACCCTGTGAGAATGGGTTGTCTGGAGGGAGTCTGGCACTTCCCTTGAATCCCTTTTCTGCATGCACTCCTGCCACTGTGATGCCATCTGCCATGAGGCCTTCACAAGGGCCAAGCAGATGGCATCATGTACTTGAACCTCTAGAATTATGAGCTAAAAAAACCTGTTCCTTATAAAATACTCAGATTCAGGTACTTTGTTATGGTGTAGCAACAGACAACAGACTAAGACAAGTGCTACTCAAAGAGGACTGAATGAGTTAATGTGCATAATAGTTTAGGTAAAACCAGCCAAGCAAATAAATCTTTAAAGGTGAGCAAATATTATCACCAGCTGCATGACGGTCATACTGTGAGCAGCAATGTGAAGTTCTGCTTAAGAGGACAGATAGTGGACACAGATTTCTGGAAATTCTGTCCTAAGCATGCCACTATAAACTGGTTATGCTTGGTGAAGATACTTAATTTCTTCTATCTGTAGTTTGCTTCTGTGTAAAAAGGAGATAATCATACCTACTTTCCAGCATTCTTGAAAGGATAAATTAAACTTTCTAGTTTTGTTGAAGTCTCTGATCAATTTAAACATTTACTAAAAATACATATTTATAGGCAGTACCTCAGATCTATTAAATCAGAGTCCTCAGTGGAGACTCAGAGGAAACAACATTTTCATGAAGCACCTCAGACAATTCTTAGGAACAGACAAGTATAGAGAACACTAAAATGACTGTGCTACCCCAGCTCCAATTCTTATGTTAAAAGCCCTACTCCAAATGCAATGGTATTTGAAGAGGGCAACTTTGAGAGATAATTAGGCTTAATAATGAGTTAGTGTCCTTAAGAAGACAGAGCTTCTTATAAGGCTCTCTTTCTCTCAGCCATGTGAAAACACAGCAAGAAGGTGGCCATCTGTGAGCCAGTAAGAAAGCCCTTACCAGAACCCAACCATGCTGGCATCCTAATCTTGGACTTCAAGCCACCAGAATTATAAGAAATAAACCTGTTGTTTAAGCCACCCATACTATGTTATTTCTTTATAACAACTTGAACTATGACAAAATATGTACCAGGATTATAGAATATGTACCAGGTAATTAGGAAGTGTCTACAACATGGTAGCTACCCTTATTATTTGTTTGAATGAGAACTCACATTACTCCAATGAAACTTCACTCTTATAAAGAGCTGAGGCAAACATGGTCATGCCTTCTGTTATTCTGAAGTATCTCACTAGAAAAAATTAGAAATTGAGATTGGATGAGAAGCAAAGAGAATGAATGGAGCAGAAAGCTAGAATAGACACACTTTTCCCAGTTCCTCAGTTCCAAAATGTACAGCCAAGTCACTGACTCTAACAGCATCTCTTGACTAGCACTTATTAATCACTACTATCTTATATGATGTTCACAGTGCTTCACAAATAGCCTCAGAAAATACTTGCTAAATGAATAAACCATCTATCTCAGTCAGACCCATCACTCTTCTTTCCTGCTCTTCTTCGTACACACACTACTCAAAACACTAGCTCAAGACTTTACTCATCCTGCTCCCTCATGACAATACCTTCTCTTCACTTCTCCATCTGCCCCAATCTCACCCACCTTCTAAGGTCTGAAGGTTTATGCCCCAACCCCAAGTTTATATATAAAATCTGAACCTCTAAGATGATATTAGGAGGTAAGGCCTTTTGGGAGGTGACTAGATCCACCCACATGAACAGTACTCCAGATCTCTAGAGAGCTGCACCTTTGAGGACACAGCAAGTATATGCCAGCTACAAACCAGGAAACAGAGCCTCACCAAACTTGATGGCACCTTGATCTTGGAGTTCTCAGCCTCCAAAGTTGAAAGAAGTCAGTTCTGCTGTTTATAGGGACATTTAGCAACACCTGAAACCCTTTTTGGTTACTGAGATGTAGGGGTAGCCACTGCCTCCTAGCAGGCAGAAACCAGGAATTCTACTAAATACCCCAGAATGTGCACAGAGTCCCTCAATACAAAGAACCATTTGGTCGAAAATGGCAACAGTGCATTGGTAGAGAAACACTGGTTTAAATTAACCTCTTCTTAGTTCCTTCCCCAGGTAACACTTATCTTTTTGTTCCCTGAATCTATGGTTTCCAAAAAAACAAAGTCAAAGCAAAGTTATGTATTTCCTGAAGTTTGGAGGCCTACTTTGCTCAGAGTGTTTACCATACTATTTTGCCTCCCCTGACCAGCTGGGAAGATTCTCTGTTGGCACAGCCAATCACTATTGTAAGAATGAAGATACTTCTTTACTGTTCAACTTCTCCTATTTCCAGATAGCACCATGGAAGTAGGCTCAGTGCAAACGCTTTCCAGACAATATGTAGAACTCTTGTAAATCCGCAGTGGCCTTGAACAAGTTCACCAGAGCTGTGTCTCTTTGTTCAGCATGCCAGATATGCCGTGTTCCGGGAAGCCTTCTTTGACCCTTGCAATCACTTGTTCACTCCCTCACTCTACCACCATCCCCCCTCCACACGCACACACTTCTATTTTATAAAGGTTATCACGGCTATGTGCCACTCGTTCGCGCGGAGCGCTCCTTAAATCACACCCCTCGCATATTCTGTAGGAAATAAAACAGCTCCTCATACAAGCAGGCGATCAATAAGAATGTGTTCAGAGTTAGGAAAACAACCATACAGGCACCCTCGTTCACAAGTTACCTACAGTGTGCCATAAACTGGTGACCCGCGCTTCCTTCTAATCCTCACATCAATTTACCCGAGAGAAAAGGAAACTGAGGCACGAAGAGCGCACTTGACGACCTGCTCCAACCGAATTTTTATCAAAATCTCGTGGTATTTCCACACACACTTAGGGCTGAAGGATGGAGAGAGGACATCTAGGAGAGGGTGTGGGATAACGGCCGCAGTCCCATCGCTGTGGCGTGAAAAGGACCAAGACCACAACCCAGCTCGACAGACCACCGCGGAGCCACCCAGAGAGAGGCGACAACTGCCGCCACCCGCTCCAGCGCCATCCCCACTTCTCCCTTACCTGGTTGGCCGACCTATCTCAACCTGGTGCTCCCAGAGTTGGCACGCCCGGACCCCAACTCTTCCCCTCAACCCGCTTTGCCAATCGCTGAAACGTCGAGCGCGGGCTCTTGCGTCATCAGCCGTCGCCGGCGAGCGGTCACATGACGCCCCGCCCCGCTCTCCGCCTCTGGGTCATGTGACGTCCCGAAGCGGCAGGGGCGGAAGCCGGGGTCCAGTCGGCTCATCTGCGGCCGACGACAGAAGGGACCCTTGGAGAGAGGTGGGGTGGAACCCGGGTGCGACTCTGCTCGTGCGCTGTGGGCGCGGCCCGGCTGACAGGTGAGTCGCACCGGGTGCGCTCCCTCCTTTGCGTCCCCTGTCCCTTCCCTAGGCGATCCGCCGTCTCGCGAGCAGTCCGGATGGGGCACCTGAGATGGGGCACTTAAGGCCTCGTGGGCTGGCGGCTGCCGCCCGGCTCTTCGTCTCCACCTAGGGAAGTCGTCTTGCTTCTCCTCTGGCGCTGCAGGAGCGACGTTCTGCTGCCTGGCCGCTTCTGGTCCTTGCAGGTTTCCGGGAGCAGTGCTGGGCAAGATGCTCTTGGTCCTCCATTGACTCTGGAGAAAACTGAGTGGTTTCTGAGGGCGTTTACACAGGCCTGGGTTTGAATGAGTCTGTCATGCGCTGTGAGTTTGGGCAAGGCTTTGCTCCTCCCTGCACCTTAATTCCCCCACCTGTGACTTATGGTACCAAAGTCCTTTGCATTTCGAGGGAAAAAAAAAAAAAAAGTTCTCCGGATCTTGATTCCTCTATGGTTGCACAAGAGGGAAAAAAAATGCGCTCAGCCAGCAAATTCGTGCAGGTCCCTCCAACATAAGTGAGGGAGAAATTTTACTGCCTCTGCCCACAACTAGGGATGCCTTCCTAGCTGTCCTTCGCCTGTCTTTCTCAGGATTCATGAATCAAGGCTAGAGGAATCAGGCTCATTTCAGAACTTTTCTGGAAGAGATACGTGGATATCTTGCCCAGCTGCCATTATATGTTGTTCATGATAATGGATTTGTGGATACCAGTGCTTCCTTCTTTATGGAACTGAGGTTTCGTGATAGGATAAAAATAGACCTCTCTTCTTTTGTCCTCAGAATAGGGTCAATAGTGCATTGTCCAGGACAATTTAATTTCCTTACGAAAATTTGTTCATGTACCATGCTTTGTTCTTTTTGTTTGTTTGTTTTGTTTTTTGACACAGGTCTCACTATGTATTCTAGGCTAGCCTTGCACTCTAGCCCCTCCTGCCTTAGTTTCCCAAGTGCTGGGATTACAGACATGCGCCACCACACCTGGCCTCCATGCTTCATTCTTGAAAGCATGCTATCTTTTGACTAGGATAACTTCCTAATCTAAAAATCAGAGTTCCATGCCAAACTCTTAAAAATTTACCACTACTTTATAACTTATAAAATAATAATAAGAAGAAATTGAGTAAGACCTCTGGCTCTTTTTTGTGCCAATAACAATATAGTTAAACCTATCCTCAGAGGCCCAATCTTTATGACTCTCCTTCATTCTTTGCACCAGAGAACATCACAAAGAATGATTTGTATAGCTTCTTCTACAGTGTTTATGTAGACCTCATTCTAGAGTACATTTTTAAGACTTAATACTTTGTAATGGTGTTACATCTATTGAGCTCTTAGGTGGTTTTAAGGGGATCAGGCATCTTTTTTTATTTTTTACAGTGCTGGGGGTTGAATCCAGGGTCCCACCTTCATGCTGCTCTGTCATGTAACACATACCCCTCACCCTTCTGTTTTTGATTTTGTTTTTGAGATAGGGTCTTGCTCATATTTCCCAGGCTGGCCTCAAACTCACAATCCTCCTGCCTCTGCTTCCCAAGTAGCTAGGATTATAGGAGTGCACTACCCTGCCAAATGTGCACTCCCACACCAGGCATGATTAGACATCTTTAATAATGATTACTTGATTTGTTCTTCATGGCTAATTTTTCAGCCAAGAGTGAGGCTATTTACCAAATACACTAGCCAAATAACATATATGCAAGTCCTAGAAATACCATTTGTTACATAGGACATATAACTAGTCCAAGTTAGGTCTAATACACAATATTGTAACTAAGTGTCGTAATGTAATTAAGTGCTTTTCTTCTTTCAGTTTATCTCCTCTTAACTTTAGTCTTCCAAAATGTAGCAAAAAATGCTTACATTATTAGAAGAAGAAACACAAGTCTCTTCCTGAAGTAAAACAGATTACAGGCACTGAGTTCACGCCACTAAATGTAATCTGTATTTTGCTTTTACATTAAAAAGTTACACATAAACATTTGTTTTTATAGAATTTTAGATAAGACAATCAACCTAGGTAATAATTTTGTTTTACTCTTGCCAACACACTGGATTATTTTCTTACTCTTCTATTATCCTTTTAAAGTTATCCATAGTGTGATTTTTTTTTTTCTTTTTTCAGTTCTGGGAACTGAACCTAGGGCCTCCTACAAGCACTCTACCAGTTAAGCCAAACTCCCAGTCCTTTTGTTTTTATTTTATTCTTGAGATAGGATCTGGCTAACTTTGCATTTGCTGCCTCTATCTCCCAGGTAGCTGGGATTGCAGATAAGTATCACTGCACAGTGGCTTGTGTGATTCTTAAGTAAGGGTCTAGGGATTAAAATAAGAGATTGACACACAAAAGTCTTGATTTATATTATCCTCCCAGGCCTGAATGTGTCTTTGAAGGTGCTGAATCCATCTGTCCATCTGTTTGTTGAGAGAGATGGGGAGGAGGGCAGGTAAAGTTGCTTTGCTTTAAGCTATTTCTTCCAAGGCCTATTTCTGCCCAACCCTAACACAAAAGCATGTTATCTTTTGATTAGCCATTATATCATTTATATTATCTTTTGGCCTTTATACATGCTAATCATAGCTTGACCTTTTGTGAGTCTGTAGTTTCATCCTCTTTAGACCTGGATTAGTTTGTCTTCAGAGGACCTCAGAAGGTGACCAGTTTACCCACTGCCCATTATTTACTCCATTTTCCTTTCTCATTTCCCAAACCAGGCCATATCAGAAAATGAAGTGAAATTATCTGAAATTCAGCCTGTTAAAGAAGCAGTGTGGTTTAACAAGCAAGCATCCTATACAGAACTAAAAGGACTTGTTAATAATGTATGCCTAATTTGTGTCTCTCGTGAGTGAGGCTAGACAGCTGCAGTGTCTTCTCAGTAATCCTTGCCTGCAGCCCACTCCAGTCCATCTTTGCCCCTTGCTCACCCTGCTCCAGCCACATCAGCTGCTATTCCTTAAATATATCTGGCACATTTCTGCCCTGGGGCCTGTGTCCTCCTTGATCAGATTATTATCTGTTGCTTCATAACTACCCCACAGCCTAGTGGCTTAGGACAATCAGCATTTATTCCATGGGCAGGAATCCCATAGGGACTCCTTAATTGCTTAATTGGGTGCCTTTGGCTTAGGGCTCTGGTGAGGTTGTTGTCAAGCTTAAAAAGAAGCTGTAGTCTTACACAAAGGCCTGACTGGGTTTGAGGGAATCTACTTTCAAGCTTACCCATGTGGTGATTGGCAGGCATCAGTGCCTTGTGACATGGGACCCTTTATAGGGGTCTCTCACACTGTGACCTCTTTTCTCTCCAGAACAAGGTAGAAATAGAACCCAAGCTAGAACTATCTGTTTGTAATCTAAGCTTTGAAATGATATCTGTCACTTCTGGTATATTCTCTTCTGTAGGAGGGAGTCAGGAAGTCATCTTACACTCAAGAGAAGGGGCCTTACCTAGGACATGAGTGCCAGGAGATAACAGTCATTAGGGACCATTTAGAAGCAATACCCAGATACTTTTACTGCTTACTCTCTCCCCTCCCTCTGATCTCTGCTCACATTTCATTTTACCAGAGAGGCTTTCCCAAACTACTCTATGTAGTTTACAAACTACCACATGCTCTATCCCTTTATCAGTAGTTTCTTCACACCACTCAAAACAGCCTGACAGAGGCTGACCTCTTTCCCACTCCCAATAGTATGTGTGCATCATGACAACAGGAACTCAATTCTGTCCACTGCTGTATCCTCAGATCTTAACTCAAGACTTGGCACATCCTAGGTACTAGGTAAATATTTGTTGAATGAATGAATTTATACCATTAAAAGTGCTTTCAGCAAATAATCCAAATCCTAATTAACAATGGGAAAACCATACAAGTAATTCATTGAACAGAATTACAGAAATAGGTAATTCCACCATTGAATCAGCAGTTTAATAACACTACCAAAAATTTATGTTCCCTCTGTCATTCCACAACACAATCTTCAGGTTCTTGGATTATTCTAGGCTTGTCACCACATGGTCTCAAGGTAGCAACTGCAGCTCCAGCCATCAGCTGTTCATTGGGCCACATTTAAAATCAAGAAGCAGAATAGCCAGGGCAAGGGGAAGAGAGACTGCTCTTCACATCTCTCTCTCCTTTTAGTAGGAGGTTAAAAAATAATAATACTTCCTAGAAGTCTCACTATAGACTTACTCTTAAGTCACATTGGTGAAATCTAGGTCACTTGTTTAACGCTGGCTTCAAGTAGGGCAGAAAAATAAGAATCTGACTACTTTGTCTTCTAAGTAAGAAGGGAAAGGGGGCAGGAGTATTGTTGAGGAGCCAACAAACAGGTATTTCCACAATATCCCAGTAAATCAAGACATTTGCAGATAATTGAATCAATGATAGAAACTCCCAGAAGGAAAATGAAACTTTTAAGAATTTCACAGCTTCCATAGTAGTAGTATGTAGCTTGTGACATGAATGAACTCTAAAAATATGTGACAAGCGCTGAAAAGTGTTTTGCTATGGCTGCTCAGGAAGCCCTCCTGGCTGTCCACAGCCTTTCTGCATTCTGGTTTTATGTACAGAGAGATCCTTGCTATTTTGTCACTTGTTATTTGAGCCCCTGCCATTAGAAGACTCATACAGAAGCAGATAGTGTCAGTGGCAAAATTTTAATAAGCTGACTACTTACATAATAATTCCCTACTCAAAAAGTCCAAAAGTATCCATCAAGTTGAATTCTTATTTTTGTCAGTCTTCCCAATTCTTGGTGCCATGTGGAGGCAGCACAGTACCA